CTACCCCCAAGTTCCCCTCAAATGGAGTCAGTCAAGTACTTAACGACATAAGTCAACTCCGTTCAAAGATCATCTCAACCACGATTCTCAATCCTCCGCGAGATCTGCATGTGCTGAACCAGTGACATAAACCATGCCAACATTCTTCCAAGTCCCTCTCACCCCCCTATCCCAACTTTAACCCCCCGTCCTCAGGCAACCCCTCCCCAAACTCAACAAGATCCTCTTTACTCCTCCCCATCCCTCCCTTCCCCTTGGTCGAATCCCACTCCACTAAAGTAACCCTCTCCTTCCCTCCCTCACTCGGGACCTCTTCATAAGGCCCCTCCAAGCCCTCTCGACAACAAAGTCAAAAACCCTATAATCCGCATTCCCAAACCACCTTCCCGCGACCGCACTCCTCAAGAACCCCGAGTGCGACACCACCACCACAACCAAACCATCCTCCTCCTCGTTCCGCTCGTAATTACACAGATCCCGCAGCACAGCCTTCCCCCTGGCGAGAATCGCCCCCTTCTCGTACGCATACCGTGCCCCCGCGGGCGAGGTCTTGTCCGGGTAGACGGGGTCGAGGTACGAGAAGTCGATCTGCGGGAACTCGGCGGCGAGTTGCGGGGCGGGAGTGCCTGTGTCGCAGGGCTTGGTGTAGATTTCTGTGTGATTACCTATCTGTTTAGTCTTTTTTCCCTTTCCCCGATTTTCAGTTGCCATTTGCTGACGTATGTAAGGTATGGAGTGTGAGGGGGGAGGATTTCTGGGGTTTGTGGCAAGACTGAACGTACCCTGCCATCGAGCATCCGGCACGACGGGCACGCCCGAGTCGATCAGCCAGTCGAGAGCGATGGGGCAGGTCTGGATAGCCCTGCGCATGGGGCTCACGACGATGCGCTGGACTTTGCGGTCTGCCGGCAGGCGGGATTTGAGGTGCTCGCGTAGCTGAGCGGCTTGTTGACGTCCGAGGTCGGAGATGGGCGGGTCAGGGAGCGAGTGGTAGGACTTTGGTTGTCATGGGGGTTAGTTAGGTGGTCTTGTGGGTGATGCTTACTAGGTCGTTGACGGAGGGGTTTGCTTACTATACATGTTGTGGATTGCCTGGGCGTGGCGGATGAGGACGAGCGTGGGTGGCATTGTGCATGGGTGGTGGCAGCGGTTTGTGCAGGAAAGTGAGAACTAAGAAGTGAAGAAGGGAGATGGCGGTGGTTGATTCTGGTGACTCTCGAGTTCTTTTTAAAACACCCTGCTTGGCCTTGTTGCTCCGCTTCATGGGCCACGCCGCAGTGGAAATCAGCTTCCGATGGCCGATCTTGCAAGATTGCTTGAACTACACTGTGCAAGGAAAGTCTAGAGGATCTGTTTCTGATTGCAATTATTGCACAGCACAGAACCCGAGTCTCGCTGTATACATTATCAGTCCGATCACTGTGTGCCCACGCTTCTTTGCAACTGGTACAGAGCGTGGCGTGTCTGAGAAGTCGGCATGGGGTAGCCCTGCTGGCATGGTCATCGGAGTTGCAGCTGTTGGTGAGCCGATTATCAGACGGGCAACGTGTCCATCTTGCAACAAGAGGACTAATAAATGAGACTACTGAGCTGGGAGATGGTGAAAATAACATGTTTCCTAGCTGCCATAATCCGTCCAGCTGGGTACTGTCCAAGCGGGATATTCAAAGTTCAGTTGGAGGTTCAAGCCGTTTGTCTCCTCGGGAGACACTCTCCTGATCCAATACCCGGTCGCAAGGGCCGGGTCCTTAGTACATGAAACACTCACCGCTCTCCAAACCTGCAACCAGACGCCTTCCCGGGACTCCGTCAGCTCCTCAGCCGCGTCATCCTTCCTCCCCTCCATCAAGTGGTTAAATGCGGTGTACCGCATGGCCAGCACAGCCTCGACCAGCAGCTTCCGAAACCCACCGACAGCGGCGTCCATAGACGACAGCAGACATTCCCGCATGACATCGCGATCGAGGTCCGATAGCCAGCCGTTGGCCCCCACCCGACCCCTTTGCAGCGAACCCTGGACGACAACCAGCAACCTAGCGAGCGAGGGAAAAGCTTTGGGGATCCTCCCCAGCAGCGTCTCGTACGCGCGCAGGCCGGGCTCGATGCCCAAGTGCTCGGCGGCGTAGTCGTAGACGCTCTCCTCGGTGACCTGGAAGACGAGGCTCGTGACGGCGGCGGCCCGCTCCGGCGGCAGCAGGCGGTCCGTGTACAGCAGCAGCGAGCCCGAGGCGACGTGGAACGTGTTCTCGGCGTACAGCACGCCGACGGCCTCGCGGTAGGCCAGGCGGCAGCTGAGCAGCAGGCCCAGCACCTCGCTGCCGACGGCGCAGGGGGTGCCGAACAGGCGGCAGGCCGTTGGCGGGGGCCCGCCCCAGCCGCAGCGGTCCGAGATGGGCTGGGCGTCCGGGTGGCGGTGGCAGATGGAGGCGCGCCAGCGCCAGCGGCGGCGAGCCTCGAAGGAGGCGCCGCGGGTCGAGTGCGGCGTCGTCGTCTCGACGGCCGTGTAGCGCATGTCGATGTGGATCTCGCGGCCCGCCAGGAGGAGGCGGTAGATCTGGAGCCTAAGCTCGGGAGGGAGCCTGAAGAAGGACGATTGGGGCGATTGCTGAGTGTGTGGCGGCGTCGGTGTGATGGCACGACGGGTTTTGGGCAGGGCTGGGAGCGTGTCGAGGGCGTGGGGCGGCTTCGGCGGAACAGTGGGCGGCGACGCCGATGCCTGCTCCGGTTCATGCTCCCGTGAGTCCGGTCCGCCGCGCGAAAACCTGCCGGTAAAAATTTGGCGGATGAACGCCATATTGGCGAGATGCGTTGTGTTGAGGGTTCGGACAGATTTGTTGTCGGGCCAGCTGGAGGTTGAGGATCAGTCGGATGACGGTCGTGCGGTGATGGTGTGGTCGGTGAAGTGGGGCCGAGTTGCGGCGTCTCTGGGGTGCCGTGGTTCGGGCCAGGGTTAATAGTGAGGTCTGTCCCACAAGGGTTTAGCTAGGAGATGATACCACTCGTTACACCAGGTATCATGTTCCCGTTACGTCAATGTCGTCGTTCTGGACATATTGAAGCTTGAAACCAAGGTCGAAGTTAGAGTTCAATTAGGATTAACTATTATGGCCAGCATCATCTTTCGAAAATTTGATTGAACCTTGCCCTGCAGATGACTCGGGACGGGATCGGGTTGAAAATCGTTTGATGCCGGCACAGGAACTAAGAGCTCTGATAAAAAAGTCCAATAACTATTCTGTAACGTTACGAAGATTACCTATTTGTATCGTAAATAAGAGCTTATACAGGAAAATATTGAGCTTTCTGAAAAACCCGACTGCTTGCCTAAAGTCTTCGAAAATAGCACCGTTCGAAAGCTCCAGAAAAACCTTATCTAACCACGCCGACTGCACTCCCGCGCACTCTGTTGCGTGGCCGCAGTGGGTGTGGAAAGCAGGGCGATTCGAGGTGCTGCAGACACCCCGAAAAACTCTCATCAGCGCACAGACCAATCAGTCACCTGACCCCCACCCACAGTTACCCAGGCGACCACACCCCGGTGCCCCTGAGCCCCTGAGCCCCTGAACCCCGGAGCCCTCAAGCCCTTGCATGGGACAGGATGACCGCCCCCACCCCTCCCACTGAAGGGGGAGGAAGAGGACCGGCCCAGTCACGGCACTCAAGCGTCCCCCCAACACCTCCTCGTTCCCCCCCACCCTCTGACATCGACGCTATTAAGAAGATGGTCGACGGATTGGTAACACTGGCAAACCCAGAGAAATAAGGAACCGCTAGAGGCATGGGGCAAGACCTACT